CGTGAGGTTGGTGGTCGGCCAGGAGGGGGCCTGGCGGTCCCTGCTCTGACAGTTGGGGGGGGGGGGGGGGGGGGGGGGGGGGACCCAGGTCAGTCTCCTGCCTCGGCACCAGATGGCGGCCCTGAGGGATGACCGTTCAGGAGCCCCTCTTCTGTGCAAGGGGAGTCTAGGGCCACGGGCTCTGCCCCTCCATCCTGGCTTTGCTCCTGGCCCCTAATGTTTACTCCTGAGCCCGCCCCCCACCCCCCATCCGGCCTGAGCTGCCGGGAGAAGCCCCAGCAGCCAGCCTTGGGGAGCGTCTCTGCTCCAGAGGTATCTGGGCTCCCCAAAGAGCCTGCCTCAGGCTGTCTGAGTGTGGGGCGGGGGGCGGGGGGGGCACAGTTACAACCCAGAGACTGGGTGTTCCCTCTGCATCGCCCCTGCAGGGAGCGGAGGTGTGGGGGCTGCTCAGACCCCCAGCAGCTCCTCCACTGCCACAAGCACTGTGGCTGCTTCCTCTGGGGGGGGGGGGGGGGGGTCAGGGGAGCCTCTGCCTCAGCCCAGTGGGGAGGGAGAGGGGGAGAGTGATGGTCCCAGGGCCAGTGTCTCAGGCTCACTGGGGCCTGTCCTTGGGGGGGGGGGATAGGAGGGGTTGTGACAAACCTGAGGGGCACAGGGTCAGAGGGGCTGCTTTGGGACACTTGAGAAGCTTATCCCAGCCTTGCCCTATCCCCCTATAGCACCCCCACAGGGCCAGTCCTGGGGAGAGAGCAGGAGGAGGAAAGGGAAAGAAGGCTGGTGAGGCTGGGGCTGGGGCTGGCAGGGAGGGGCTGGCCCAGTTCTCCAGGCTGGGCCGGCTGGACCCTGCTCAGCAGAGAGGTGGGGTCATGTGAGTGTGCCCTGGGGTTGCGGGCAGGTCAGAGCTCGCCGCTATCTGGGGCCTTCTCAGACCAAGTGTGGGCCTGTCTCAGTGCTGAGCGCCCTGGTCAACACCGGCCCCAGCCCAGCCCCGGGCCCCTGTAAGGGTCAGGACCAGTCCACCAGGGGTGCCGAGGGGTGCGGAGGGCGGAAGGAACCTTTCCAAGAGCTCAGAGGCTTCAGGCAGCTCAGCCCTCAGGGTTCAGCTCCTTCCTCTGTGCGCCCCATTCCTGGAGGGGCTGGGTGGGACCCAGGAGCCAGATCTTGGACACATCCCCAGGGCCTGTCCTGGGGACTGTCTCATTTCCTCCTGGTGACCCCTGGGTGCACCCTAGCATCCTGAGGCGGGGGGGGGGGTGCTTGCACAGGCCTGAGAGCAGCCCTCCAGGGAGGCAGCTGGCTCTGGCGGGGCTGGGACTCCTCTGCCCACCTCTGCCCACCGTGTGCCTGTGTGGGTGCTCCCACGTGTGGATCTGCGCCTCCGAATGCCTGAGGCTTTGGGATCTGAAACCCCCTCTTAGCTTCCCCACCACCCCTGTTCCCACCACCCCCGGGAGCTGCCGAAACAGCTGCCCCTCCTCAGGAACCCTCCTCCAACTCCTCGAGAGTGCTTCTCATTCTTCTTCCCCCCAAATGTTTCCTCACTGGAATCAGGGCGCATCAGTACAGAGCTGGGTAGGTCCCAGGCTTGGGGGAGGCAGAGGGAGAGAGCGAGGTGGGGAGAGAGGAGCCAGGTCCTGGCCAGGACTGGGAGACGGACGGACGGACGGATGGACGGACAGACCAGCATGCACTTCAGCATCCTTTCCCCAGCGAGATCCCCATCTTCAGGGGTAAGACGGCCCTGCTCTGTCCCAGATTGCAGAGCTCCCCTCTGCCAGGGACAGAGGCTGGGGGGACAGGGGCAGCTCCTCTCTGCCGGCACCCCCAGGGCCCCGAACTTGTGGGAAGTGAGCACCGATCTGCAGCTAGTCAGTCAGCAGCGTGTGGGGCTTGGGGACACTTTCTCTATGGGAATGCTGTAAGCACCGGCATGTATGTGGGTGAAGAACAGTATCACTGTGTGTGGGGGGGGCGGGCAAGGGGTCCCTCTGCCCACCTGGTGCCCTAATGACCCCTGAGCTCAAGACACATGGCCTCTCCCACCCAGGTGGTGGGTTCAGGGTGCGGCCTGTCTCCTGTGGCTGCTCCCCTTCCCTCCACAGGAACTCCAGGGACAGTGTCGAGGGGGACTTCTGGCTCCCCTGCGCCTCACCTGGGACTCCCTGCGGGGCACTCCCAGGGCAGGGAGTCAGGGAGGCGGGAGTCAGGGAGGCCTGCGGGCACGGAGCCTCCGTTCCTTCCGGCCTCTATTCTCTTGCCCTTTGCTCTGTCCTTCCGAGAGGCTTCACATTCCTTCAAGGGGATGAGCTGGAGAGAGGGCTCTGCTCCTCCTTGTTCCCTCACGGGCTGAGCCTCAGTTTTCCCTTCTCTAAAATGGGGAGCCCCACTGAAGCACCCCTTTGAAGGGTGAGTGAAATGTGTCCGTAGCAGCTCAGCTGGGTGGCTGGGGTCGCTGGTGAGGAGGGCATGTCTGGCTGAGTTCCAAGGCCAGGAGCCGGGGGTCAGAGGTGCCCTCCTTCATGGGGTCCTAGTTTCTGGGGAGCCCCGCGCCCAGAGCCAGGGAGGCTCAATGAGAGCTTTGCCCA